ACTGAAAGCAGCTACGTGTTCGTGCGTTAAAGAGAATTAGGAACTGTGGATGCTTTTCATCTAATAAACAGGGAGCTAGAAGTAGTGTAATAGCTAACACCACACTTAAAAGAATTGAGGTAGTTAAAACTGCATAGTTTGTCCAGGGGAGAAAAACGTCAGTGCTTGCATTTTAGTGTTACTTATTGTGGAGGGGGAGGCATTCTGGACATTCTCCTCACCATCAAGGGATCCAAGCTGGATCTGAAGGCAAAATACAGGAGCTATCACCTCTGGGCCACTGGACAAAGGCTGTTCAGAATGGCCTTGACAGTATTTGTTTTTGTTCACTGTTAGAGAGGTTCTATTGAAACATATTAATAATGATTAACAGCGTTTTAGGACTTATTTCTTCCATCTTTCCGTTTTTCAAGGTGCTGCTTTGCTATCCTGCTGAAAAAACCTCACCCCAGAAACCACATGCTAAATCGGCTGAGACGCAGCAGAGAGAACGTGAACAAAGAGAGCTCCTTCACTGCAGTGCAGCTTGGATCAGATCCAAAAGACTCACAGGCAGGAGGCAGACTGAAAAGATGCAGACAAGTAATTTTTAGAATAGACCCAGTTATTAATTGTTGCTTTCACTGGCATAACATGCAGGCACAAACCTGTCATTTTAGGCCGATGGCGTCTTTATAAAATGCCCTTTAGAAGTCTCCTTACATCAGAAGCATAGTGAATTGCCACATGTTCCTCTGGGTCATTTAGACCTGCAGAGAAAGACGTGCCCAAGCCTGTTTATTGTGGCAGCACAGATCGTAAAGCTGTATCCCATGTGTCCTGCCAAGTCAAAATATGCTTTAAACAAACAGGGAGACAGATGAGTATTGCTCATTTTCCCCTTTTTACTACAAATCTGGATATCTATTTCTTTTTCTTAAGCTTTCAGCTCCTGAAGTTGGTAGCTTACTAAAAACTTTGTTTATTTAAGGTATTTTTAGCATAAGGCTTAAAAAACAAAACTCAGATAGTTGTCTTTTTTTGGTAATCTCATAATATTACAGTCAATCTCATAGTACTTTGAATTGTGACTTGCTATTTTTGTAACCCTTGAGCTTGGCAGTACAAGGACAAGCAGCAAGATGCCATAGCTCTATTTGTTTTGTGGATGGAACTTCAGCAAAGACTAGGCCTTATTGCAGTGTTACAGGTTTGGGGAGAATATATTTATCTCCACAACTGTAAATAGATAAATATAATTATCCTGTGTCATACACAGGGAGAGAGACCTTAGGTAGGAATGAGTAATATTGTGAGATAGGAATATACATTGTTTTTTCCCAGTGGCAAGTAGCCCTATTTTTCTCTGAACAAAGGAACAGTGCTGAACTTGCTACACAAACTCAAATCGGCTGGCTGGCTGGCTGTCCCAAGTTAAACCCTTGTAACTAAAGATAAACAGATTGCTTCATTTGACATTGCTCATGTAGAAATGATATGCTGTTGCTAGGACATTCGTGTACATAAAAAACAGACCCAGCTTGTGTTCTAGAATGTACAGATTCGTTGGAAACATTTCTTTGTCCCCAGATTCTTCTCTTCTGAAAGTAGGTTGCTTTGTACTACTTCCCAATGACCTACTTTTGAAACCACTTGGAAGGAAATACGTGTTCCCAACTGCAGCCCTGGCAAAGGCTGGAACCACCTGTGCAGTCAGGCAGTCACAAGATACAGATTTCTGCTTTTTCAGCTTTGCATTTATTTATATACAGTTCACAGTCAGCTGCTTGATGATTCTTAATTCACCAAGAGCTACTGGAGGAAGAGTGGCATGTATGTTAAATACATACGCTTTGTACAACCACAACAGTTACTAGACCATTTAAGAATAAACAGTTCTCCTTTGTCTGTATCAAATTCAGGCAGTAAAGTATTTTCTAAAGAAATTCTGAGGTAAAGCTGAAATTCAGTAAAATGAAGTCACAAGGCCATCACCTCCAGCTTAGGAGATTGTTCTGTACACATAATGTGTGAAAATGAGGCAGAATCTGGCCCGTGATATATAAACACTGCATTCTGACTTTAAAAAGAAGCACCTTTCAACTTGATAATAATTATCATTGAAGTAGTATAAAGAATCTATGCAGATACAAAGTGTGTAACATTCAGGGCACAAGTTTACCCCACAGAAAAAGCCAAGGGACAGAAAAAGAGGTACTTAAGAAGCTCTCTGTGTTCAGCCCCCCCCAAAAAAAAAAACAAAAGAGATGGTCTCTGTACAGGCATGTAGATGGCTATCGCAGATTAATGGTTAGGAGAATTAAATGAATCCAATCAATGGAGGCTGCAAAATGCTAATGGTGGCCTGTGTAGAATACCTTGCCCGCAGGCTATGTAGATTAGTTTAATTCTGCTAAGGCCTGGAGTTGTGTGCACAAAGCCTAACTCTTTTGTTTATCTCTTTTTACAGAGGGATAACTGAGGGAAATAATGAGGCTTTTTGCATGGAATTGATGAATTTAATCCATAATTGTTTTTAAAATAGAGTCTGCATTCAATGTCAGCATGTTGCTGCCTGTGCTTGCTTTGGGTAACGTCATTTCCCTGAAGAATGAATTTTTCAGGAGCCATTATTAACAAGGTATTTAAAGAACTACCCATGGTAGACTCATCTTGTTGGGACTTTAGTCTGATCTGTTGATTTGAATACTTAAACAGAAGCTGAACAACAACAGTGAAAGCAGATTAGTCATAGGATTTAGCCATACTTAGAAAAAAACAAGGGAGGGCTCCTGTGTTTTCTGGTTTACACAGAAGGAAAAAAAAATGACAGAAATTTCTCCTTCTCCATCTAGAGGGACATTAAAAAACAAAGACATGCACACTAAAATCCTTAATACAAGTCTGATGTGCTCAGACACAGGCCAATCTTTAGATTAGTCTGTGGTTAATCTCCAGCTTAACAGATGTGGCCTTACACATTTGTAAATACTAGTTACTCGTGGCCTTCCTCTCAGGACTCCATGATATTGTTTGGCTGGGGGACACAGTTCCTGGAGCAGTGCCTGGGATATACAGCATACACAGGCCAGCCTTGGAGCAAACATTTAGTCACCTTGGCACCATGCAAACAAAATGAACCTATTGGAAACACTGAGCAAAACTGCCAGCGTAAAGAAAACAAATGTGATGTTGCCTAAATCTGCCTTTTCTCCTAAATTTATGTAGCTGAATAACATTTCCAAGGTTGGTTACTGCCATGGCGCTGACTCTGAACTTTCCAGTTACCATTTTCCTCTCTTCCTGTTTCTACATTGTGAATAAGTATTGTTGGGATGATTTATTTCCTTTTTACTGTAAACAAGGAGGTGCTAGCAGACACAAGCCCTGTTAGGAGAAAGGAAAGGAAATGGGTTTTATTGTTGTTAGGGTTTTTTGGTGGTCTTGTTGTCTTTTTTTTTTTTAAAAGGGGAAATAGAGCAGCTCTGTACTGAATCCTGCCGTTCACGTGCGTGCTTGTGCTTTGTGAGTGGAGGATTTAACAGCAAGTTCATCTGGCTTCACTGAAGGAGCTAGCAGCAGATAAAACACTACCATGTAAAAACCTTTCCGGATTTTGTGTACTCCAGCTATAGTATGATATAAGGGCTGGCCTGAAACGTATAATGAAGCTTAATTAACACAAAGCACAGCTAGTATGAGTTAAGGGCTGGCCTGAAAGGTATAATGAAGCTTAATTAACACAAAGCACATTTCCACATATTCCGTTCACAGAAGTTGCTCCATAACCTGATCACAGCTTCCTGTTCTGAAGGCAAGTAAACAGCCATTTGAATTTCAAATGTCAGCATTTCATCACAGGGGTTGTTTTGCAACCTCACTAAATTAAAGAATTGTCAGAGTTAAGGGCTGGCCTGAAAGGTATAATGAAGCTTAATTAACACAAAGCACATTTCCACATATTCCGTTCACAGAAGTTGCTCCATAACCTGATCACAGCTTCCTGTTCTGAAGGCAAGTAAACAGCCATTTGAATTTCAAATGTCAGCATTTCATCACAGGGGTTGTTTTGCAACCTCACTAAATTAAAGAATTGTCAGCCGGCTGAAATTGGTTCAAAGGGCTGCTCAGGAAATGGGCTGCATGACGAGGGACACACTCAGCCTGTAGCAACCGTGACGCACCAGCAGTCACCAACACTTGCTAAGTTTCTGAATAACATCTTTTTCCAGCTTTGCTAACTGCCTTCTGCTCTTCCCAGCTTTTCCTCGCAGCCACAGACGACAGGACTAGCCCTACGGCCTATTCCAGGCTCTGCCATAAACGCTTCCACGCCACCCCAGGGAAGGGGGTCAGTCAGATGCGCTGTTATCTCTGTGGGTCAACAAAAAGCTGGCACCAAGGGTAACCCCGCTTTCTTCGGGGCACTTTTCCCCCCAACCCGCGCCCGGCTCGTCCCTAAGCATTGCCTGGGGCTGAGACAGGGGCTAAAACAAGCGCCCCATCTCCGCGGGGCCCCGGCCGCTTCCCCCTCCTCAGCCCCCTCCCCCCGGCCAGTGCTGCAGCACCACCCCCCACGCACAGCTCCCTTCGCCGAAATCTGCCTCCCCAAGGCGGCTCCCCCCTAGCAACAGCGCTGACCTCACCGCGCGCCAATCAGCGCCGAGCAGCACGCGAATCTTCCAGAGCTTTCCTTAGAGCCGCGCCCTCCTCGCCCTCTCTAGCTTCCCCCCGGATCAACCAATCAACACCCGCTCTTCTTACTGCTGCACCAACCAATGCCGAACTTCTCGGTGTTTCCACGAACCGCTTCACCGGACCTTCAGATCCATCCGCGCCCTCAGAAATTTCCAGATTTTTAAGGGTCTGAGGTCCCACACTGAGACTCCAGGACCCCTTTGCCCCCGGGAGAGAGATTGGAGAGGGAGAAAGGCGAGTATTTTTCATAGCAGCGGTCTTTTACTCGGGACTACTTTGGGAAGCGGATGGACATGTCATTTTACGGGGGCGGGGCCTGTGTGCACGGAACCGCATAAATGCGGGTGGGTCTGCGTCATGCAGCAGATTACGGCTGCCGTGGAACAGAGGGTGACTGTTGACGAGTGACGTTCAGGGCCGGAGACGTGAGTTGAGCGGTGGGAGAGGGTTTTTTTTTCTTTTTTTGGGGGTGGGGTTGGAAGGGAAAGAGCGGGACGATTTTTCTGAGCAGGAAGGTATAAGGTGTGGGGTGGGTGCTGGTCGGACGGTATTTTTTGGTAGGGGTGGGAGGGCAAGGGACTGTGCAGAGTCTTGTCACTCTGAACTATGTCGCTGAGAACGGCGGCGGGGGGGGGGGGGGGGGGGGGGGGTAAAAAGGGTTGTATTGGGGGGGGGGGGACACATAC